GGGTCTGAAGATCCGTCAGTGTATATGTGACACCCATTTGGCCAATTTTCGTGTATGTATGCAAGCAAGTGTGGTGGTTTTAGCTATGTTTGGGTCGGTTTGTTTATTTATTTGGTTAGCTAGCATTGTGTCTATTTTGGGTATTTTGAGTTTAGGGGTGAAGATATTTGATTTTTTGCAGTTTTGTTTAAGATTTTGAGTTTGGTGTTCATTGAGGTAGTTAGTTATTCTTTGGGATATTGGGGTGAGTAAGGGGTGTTTGTGAGCTAGAGTTTGGATTCTTGGGCTTATGTTTTGGTTAATTATGAGACAACTAATAGGTCTCAAGATTAAGTATTCGGCTGGATGGCAGCTGCCATTTAATTACAAAACATGTAAGTGCGCCGACATGTGCCTAAGATCATAAAATGGACAATCTTTGGTAACATCTAATTTATTGTTGTCTCACGCCAGAGCTGTGAATAATTCTGTTGATTGAACAATTGGAATTCAGGAAGGTATCAATAATTGTTTTACTTAACATAAGATAAGATAAGTTGTTTACAACATAATATTATGATGTCAGGACGTACTACAGTCAAAACCATATATTTTAAAATCAATTTAATGACAGACTATTATTTCCATGTCCCGATTAGCAAATCAATGAGGTATCAGATTCACCACATGTGCACAGACCGCCTATACTTATATATATATTTTCATAACTATTCTCCAGTTAAAGTCCTATCCTCTTATCAAAAAATCTGTGAGAGTGATCATCATTAACTCATTCTCGTCAAAGAATACAGAACAAATGAAGAATCAGATGCATACATTTATTGCCATGCTCAATTCACCACAAAGTAGATTTACATACATTTGTGAATAGCACTTAAACTGTGATAATGAATTTTACCATTGTCCATATTATATTATAAATATTAACCATAATATCGATTTCCGAATATATAAACGACTCCAAACGTTGATATTTCAGACAAAAAAAAAGTCAGCTGTCTTTTAACGTTCAGGGGAAAAGGGTTTGCTTTCACAATTGAACATTTGTTTTCACCAAAGGACAATCAAATCAAGCCAAAAACAGTAAAAATACACATATATGGTTAGCGACCGCCGTTATACAGCGAGGGGGGGGGGGGGGGGGGGGGGGGAATTCGTCTGCTCTAACTGACTTCACAAAAACATTCCAGCCCTTTATTACCGAGGCAGCTGTGACGTAGTAGCATTACATTCGCTGCGTTTGCAGCATATAAGATGTGTAATCTGAGGAGTGACTAAAATAATATTACGGCTGAAATCTTACTTGCATGGTTGTTTTAATAGAAAACTTACGGTTTAAAAACACAATTGTTCTTATATAATGTTTTTAGGTTTGGTTCATAAATACAAGAGAAGATTTTTTATACATATAAAACTGGTCGAAAATACAGCTGAACAATAGAAAAATAAAAATAGAAGTTGTGAATAGTGACAAATTTTAAGTACATCACCGTGTCAATAATTATTGATTGATTCCGTCAAACAACTGTCAAACCATTTATTGCCATGTACGTACATGTACACAGGAAGTCGGCGCTGTCGGAGGCTCCAGGTAAATAAACATCGTGGTTTTATGACGGGAGATCAGACGAACCGTGAACCAGGGGCATGCGACGTAATTACACCTAAAGGTGGTAGAACCAGGGTATTGTCTCTTGGACTGGCTAATTGACCGTACGTTTAATTGGTAAATATATTCGTTTTGACACCCGTGTTTCGTGCGCATCCCGGCTCATAAGCAGAATACAGACAAATGAGGCCCCGTGATCAGCGGAGCGTGAACAACTTGGACGCCGCCTTTCGGCCGTACCGAACAGTCAAGCTGCGATCTCGGAACTGAATCCAATTGCAAGCGGAGACAAGATTACTTCCCTTACCCAAACACGATCGTTGCTCAGAAATGTTCAAATCTATCTTCAGTAAATCATGAAATTAATGCGAGCATGACATTTATGCGAAAAATGCGATCGTCAGTCCCTCTGATTATTTTAATATGTTTTATTTCATCATGATAAAAAAGTTAGTCACTTATAAGGTTACCACTTTGAAAATGGAAACGATCGTTAACAAAAACAACAAAATGTATTCTCTCATCACTCAGCCTAACAGTGATATAACTGCAAATTAAACAATCAAGTACGCTAAATTATTACACATGGTGGGTGGAGGACCAGGGGCACTTTGAGTTTGACAGGTGTCATCAACTGGTCAAGTAACATCACGGTTTGTATATTCACGTTGATGGACAGTCTAGACTGGCGCCAACTAATCATGACGGCGTCTTCAGAACAGAACAGAACTTTACTTCTCCCAGGTTTAGGCTTACGTGGATAACGGAAAATTTTGTTTAAGTGATAGCACATTTGTAATTCAATCTAATATACTTTCCTTGATTGATTATACGGCTGCGGTCGTAGATCCAGATGTATCTAAATATGCTCAGTATATACACAGGGTTTATTGTTATACTATTAGGATTAATAGATACAACTGAGTATTTATCATTTAACTTAAGCATTTATCCATGACATAAGGTTATGACATAAAAACATGTATGTCATACCCCAATGACATAAGTATGCAAATTAGATATGCAAATTAGATAACCGGAAGAGCGAGCGGTTTGATTTGAAACTATATATTATAAGTGAAGTTACACCAGAGATATAATCAGATTACACAGAATCGTTGTTGTTACCGTTATTAAAGTTTCAATTATTCTGCAAAAGTCTGTTCAAGTATTTTGTTTAAAATAATCCGAGGAACTTTTTTTCTCAGCGAATTGTTTATTTTGGTTTACATGGCTATGGAAAACATGTATCACTACGCACGATCTATACGTAAGATTTCGACAAGTTGCTGATGTTAATGTTTAATGCAATTATTCCTTAATTTGGAAGCAAAAATGTGAAAATGATAAATAGAATTCATCACTCGTGTTTTTTAATATGGGAAATATCAACCTCGTCCCGTTAATCGGTATTTGCCTCGCCAAAGGCTCGGCAAATACCGATTAACTAAGACTCGGTTGATATTTCCCATATTAAAAAACACTCATGATGAATCCTCTATTTATAGCCTTGATCATAAAGTTAGTCACTACTTTCACACTTTGATTTGTATGATTTGGGTTATGATTAAATTGACAAAATAAGAAATCATTCCGTGTATATGTGTATTATATATTGTACCCCAATATGTAATTAAATTGTGTATAAATAAGGACACTAGGTTAATTACTGTAATTGATTATTTGATAAACATATTTACATTTAGTTGTGTGATATGTCACAGAGGTAAAGCTAATTCATAACAACTAATTGTCCCATTTATTTGGTTTCTATCTTTTATATGAAACAAACGCTATAACATGGGGTGATAAACTTCATTGGCAATAGACGTAGCATATAATTGTCCACATGAACAGTCTACTCTGTTCCAGATATGTTTATTCATTTTGTCAGCATTTAAATCGTTGCATTCCTGGCTAGATGATTCATTTGACGAAATCTTGTTCCCTGTTTTGAATAACCGTCAGATAGTTCCAGAACAACTATAAAATTTTCAGCCCTATGTGTTGCGCATAATTCCGAGATAATTCGAAGTTCATATTCTTGTACGAACACTTATCAAAATTCATTTATACCTAGTACTATTATGCACATATGTATATTAGTTCAAATTATAATAATGAGGCCCTCTATATTCTCGAAACGGTCTTTGTTCTACGACAACCGTAAGGCGGTATGGGAAAACAAAATATTTGTTTAATTGTTCAAAGTTCAAAGTCAATGTCATATGATTATAGACAAGGAAGATAAGAAATTAAATATAAAGAGTAGCCACTTTAAATGACAGAATTTCTTTTAGTTAAATTTGCTCATGATTTGGTCTTTTCGTGGTACATAGTGCCAAAATAGTCCTAATTATTTACTTTCATGTCATTACTAATATCACATAAGGTCAAAAGTTGTACAACTTTTAACAGATATGATTATGACATGTTGTATCCAAACATTTCCAAACATTTCCAAACATTTCCAAACAAATCCAAACAAATCCAAGCTTGGAAATATGACCTTTCCAAATATTGGAATGGTCATATTTCCAATTTGAATGGTGGTATTTCCAAGTTTTGGATTTTTTTGAATGGATGATATTTTGTCCAGTGATAATATCAATACAATGCCATACAAACCACATAATTGATATCCATACAATGCTATATACACCATATGATTGATATTCATGAAATGCAATATAATACACTTGATAAATGTACATACAATGCTATATACACTACATAATTAATATCCATACAATGTCATAAGCACCACATAATTAATACCCATACAATGCTATATACACCTCATGATTAGCATCCATGCAATGCTATAAACACCTTATGAATGATATACGTACAATGTTATATACACCTCATGATTAATATTTATACAATGTCATGTATACCACATGATTCATAGACATACAATGCTATAAGCACCACATAATTAATATCCATACAATGCTATGAGCACCACATGATTAATATCCATACAATGCTATATACACCACATTATTAATATCCATACAATGCTATATACAACACATGATTCATATCCATACAATGCTATAAGCACCACATATTTAATAGCCATATAATGCTATGAGCACCACATGATTAATATCCATACAATGCTATATACACCACATGATTTATATCCATACAATGCTTTAAGCACCACATGATTCATAGACATACAATGCTATAAGCACCACATAATTAATATCCATACAATGCTATGAGCACCACATAATTAATATCCATACAATGTTATATACACCACATGGTTAATATTTATACAATGCTATATACACCTCATGATAAATACACAGAAAATGCCATGTACACCACATGATTAATATCCATACAATGCTATCTAAACAACATAATGATATCCATATAATGCTATATACACATGATTAATATCCATACACCGCTATATACACCACATGATTAATATCCGTACAATGCTATCTAAACCACATGATTAATACCTATACAAACTAGGTTACATCAAATGCATGTCACACGTACCAGATTACATAATTTACATCATGTTAAAATAGACCTGTAGACCCTGATCCACAAAATAGAGAAACAATCATTTATGTGTGTTGTCTTAACTTCACCAGCAGTAACTTGTTTTAAGAGACAAATGAGACAATGGCGCAATGGTTTATATACAATGTTATACAACACATATGTTGTGCCAACGAGTCCATGTTACAGTTCATAGGTTTCAGGTCTGGACACCTTTTCTGTTTTGGGAGAATGTGAATCATGGTACAATTTAGAAATTGAGGCACATTTTTGATAACACATCCCCTCATACAATAAGCATAGTGCTCTTTCAAGTATAATTAATTCAGGTAATGCAGTTAATATTATCGTGATTATTATCAAACTATTTAATTTTGTTCTGATTTTAATAAGTGTTCAGAAACACCATGCAGAGATGTCAGGGTTGTAAACAAAACTCTATCGTGTGCTAAATGCCCCTTGGCTATCACCCTTCAACCAGGAACTTACTAATCCCAATTGTCTATACTTGATAGGCGTCCACACAATCGCATTTGAGTGTGCACTATTTCAACTGAATTGTTACTACTCACGTATAACTATTAACTGTGCATTTATACTTATATTAGCCAATGACATTTAGGATCTATACTTTTAGCCTGTATGAACAGAGAATGGGTCACCACATGCTATGTTTAAAAGCATAAAGAACGTAAGTGATCACGAACACAGAGCAGAACAGACTGCTGGCTCGTGGGCTGTTCCAGCAACCGTCGCTCCCTCGAAAAAAGAATGGGAATAAAAGCATGGACAGAGCACAGAGCACAGAGCTGGCTCGTGGGCTATTCAAGCAGAAGGGACGATCGAACTTCTGCAAACTATGTGAATTGAACTGTATGTACAAACTGTAGATACACATATATCAACTCCATGAATCATTATCATGAATCAAGTGGAACCCCACATAACAAATATCGACAATATAACAATGTCAACGAAAATAAGTCATTGACAGAACTTTCACACTGTTAATCCCACAAGATATCACACAGAAAAGGATATACAAGTTTATTTCCTCGGGTAAATCAGAAGATCCGCCTCTCCCTCGGACAAAGAGGACTATAAACTGTCTGTTAATATCACATGTTTTCACTGACAAGACATGTTTCACTAAAGATGTGATACCTCTCTACATGTCCACTCTCAACAAGTAGGGTGATCAACAAGCTGTCTGTTGATGTCACATGTTTTCATTGACAAGACATGTCTCACTATAGATGTGATACCTCCCTACATTCCAACTCTCAACAAGTAGGGTGATCAACAAACTGTCTGTTGGTGTCACATGCTTTCATTGACAAGACATGTTTCACTATAGATGTGATACCTCCCTACATTCCAACTCTCAACAAGTAGGGTGATCAACAAACTGTCTGTTGGTGTCACATGCTTTCATTGACAAGACATGTTTCACTGTAGATGTGATACCTCCCTACATTCCAACTCTCAACAAGTAGGGTGATCAACAAACTGTCTGTTGGTGTCACATGCTTTCATTGACAAGACATGTTTCACTACAGATGTGTTACCTCTCTATTCCAACTCTCAACAAGTAGGGTGATCAACAAACATAACAGTGTCAAGCCGACACGAAGGTGTCCGGGTGGTGTCATGGCAGGGCCCATTGGTGTTCACCACCTAGCTCTCACACACACTGTCCAAAACCTTGTTCCCAAATTGATTGACATTCCCATTCAATATCCAATACAGACTATCAGTCCCTGTTGCATTCATCAGTAGGGGTTAGATCTGCACCTTCAGATACAAGAAGATGATAAACATCATAGTGTCCTCCTTTCAATGCCATCATCATTGGTGTTTGTTTCTTCACTCCTCCTCGTCTGTTGATGTCACATGTTTTCATGGATAGGATGTGTCTCACAATAGATGTGTAACCTCCTTGACATGCCAACATCAGACAGTCTGTGTTGTATTCATCAGTAAGGGTCAGATCTGCACCCTCAGATACAAGGAGATGATAAACATCATTGTGTCCTCCTTTCAATGCCATCATCATTGGTGTTTGTTTCTTCTCTCCTCCCCGTCTGTTGATATCACATGTTTTCAGGGATAGGATGTGTCTCACAATAGATATGTCTCCTCTTTCACATGCCAACATCAGAGAGTCTGTGTTGTATTTATCAGTAAGGGTCGGATCTGCACCCTCAGATACAAGGAGATGATAAACAGCATTGTGTCCTTCTACCAATGCCATCATCATTGGTGTTTGTTTCCGCTCTCCTCCCCGTCTGTTGATGTCACATGTTTTCAGGGATAGGATGTGTCTCACAATAGATAAGTTACCTCTATCACATGCCAACATCAGACAGTCTGTGTTGTTCTTATCAACAAGGGACAGGTCTGCACCCTCAGAAACAAGGAGATGATATATATCATAGTATTTTCCTTTCAATGCCATCATCATTGGTGTTTGTTTCTCCTCACCTCCGCGTCTGTTGATGTCACATGTTTTCAGAGATAGGATGTGTCTCACAATAGATATGTTACCTCTTTCACATGCCAACATCAGACAGTCTGTATTGTATTCATCAGTAAGGGTCAGGTCTGCACCCTCAGATACAAGGAGATGATAAACAGCATTGTGTCCTCCTTTCAATGCCATCATCATTGGTGTTTGTTTCCGCTCTCCTCCCCGTCTGTTGATATCACATGTTTTCAGGGATAAGATGTGTCTCACAATAGATATGTTACCTCTTTCACATGCAACCATCAGACAGTCTATGTTGAATTCATCAGTAGGGGTCAGATCTGCACCTTCAGATACAAGGAGATGATAAACATCATTGTGTCCTTCTTCCAATGCCATCATCATTGGTGTTTGTTTCCTATATCCTCCCCGTCTGTTGATGTCACATGTTTTCAGGGATAGAATGTGTTTCACAATACAAATATAACCTCCTTCACATGCCAACATCAAACAGTCTATGTTGTATTCATCAGTTAGGGTCAGGTCTGCACCCTCAGATACGAGGAGATGATAAACATCATAGTGTCCTCCTTCCAATGCCATCATCATTGGTGTTCGTTTCAGCTCTCCTCCCCGTCTGTTGATGTCACATGTTTTCATTGATATGATGTGTTTCACAATAGATATGTTACCTTCTTGACATGCCAACATCAAACAGTCTATGTTGTATTCATCAGTAAGAGTCAGATCTGCACCCTCAGATACAAGGAGATGATATACATCATAGTGTCCTTCTTCCAATGCCATCATAATTGGTGTTTGTTTCCGCCATCCTCCACGTCTGTTGATGTCACATGTTTTCAGGGATAGGATGTGTTTCACAATAGATATCTTACCTCTATCACATGCCAACATCAGACAGTCTATGTTGTATTCATCAGTAAGGGTCGGATCTGCACCCTCAGATACAAGGAGATGATAAACATCATTGTGTCCTTCTTCCAATGCCATCATCATTGGTGTTTGTTTCAGCTCTCCTCCCCGTCTGTTGATGTCACATGTTTTCAGGGATAGGATGTGTTTCACAATAGAAATATAACCTCCTTCACATGCCAACATCAAACAGTCTTTGTTGTATTCATCAGTAAGAGTCAGATCTGCACCCTCAGATACAAGGAGATGATATACATCATAGTGTCCTTCTTCCAATGCCATCATAATTGGTGTTTGTTTCCTATATCCTCCCCGTCTGTTGATGTCACATGTTTTCATGGATAGGATGTGTTTTACAATAAATATGGTACCTCCTTCACAAGCCAACATCAGACAGTCTTTGTCGTCTTCATCAGTAAGGGTCAGATCTGCGCCCTCAGATACAAGGTGCTGATAAACACCATAGTGTCCTCCTTTTGCTGCCATCATAGCTGCTGTTTGCCTCAAACGTGTTTTCTTCTTGTTCACATCAAATGCTTTCAATGAAATTAAAAATATCACAGTTGACAGATTGCCATTTTCACTCGCTAAATGCAAACAATCTGTCTTGTTGGTAAGCGTTAGATCGGCCCCTTTTTGTTTAAGGAACTTCAGGATATCAAGGTGTCCTGCTTTGGCACAAAGCATTGCAGGTGTTAAACCCTCGTAACTCATTAAATTTATTAAAACAGGACACGTTTCAATCGCCTTTGTTGTCAAGGCCATGTTTCCTGATTCACAGGCATAATGCAAACACGTCTTTCCTTCCCAGTCCCTCGCTGAAGTATCAGCATCTTTTCGTCTGAGAAAGTTGAACACCTCTGTATGTCCTGACTTGGCAGCCATGAGCAGGAGTGTTTGCCCATCTATGCTATATTCAACATTGAATCCTCCATGTGGACACATCACTCTAACCAGGTGTTCCAGGTGTTTCAGTTTGCCATGTGTAACACAGGCTACCACACAAGCATATAGATCAGGTGCAGTGTCACCCAGTCTTCTGACAACATCTAAACATTTTGAGAATAGAAAGTAACTTTCAGATATGGAAACCAAAACCAAAAAACAATCTTCAGAATCCTTATTTTTTTGTAGGACAATCTCAACAATGTTATCCTCAATCTCTGTCCATACTAGGGAGGCAATCCTCTCATCACGGAGAACTGGATGTTTTACTGTCCAAATGAAGCATCCTTGTCGTATACCTTCCACCAGTCTGTTCACTACTGTTTGGTGTAGTTGGGGAGTGATGTAGATCATGTTTGTCACATCATCAATGTCTGATGAGTGTATACCTTTACTCAGCCTCACTCTTTCATACAAGAACTTCAGGGAGCAGTGTTCCAGCAGCAACACGATATTGAGGTGTCCTACAGAACAGGCTGCAGCATCATATATGGAGGGGTGAGAGAAAGATGCGATGTGATCCTCGACTGTACAGTAGATCCCAGTAAAGTTGTTGATCTCCTTGGCAATGCCGGTGCGTGTACAACAAGGAACTACTTCCTTCACAGCATCAAACATGTCATTTCCAGACTTCCGTGACTGCAAAGAAACAAGGTTGAGACTTCCATCACACAGGATGAGGATGATGATGGCTGCCGATCTGTTGCTTTCTTCCCGGACAATGGTGTCAAGGTCACCTCTCAGGTAGGTCAATGGGTGATTGAAGAATTTCAGGATGTGCATCTGGAAAACTGCATTGGTGAAAAAGAGTCTGCCGACAAGAGGGAATCCAAACATATTGTATTTTGAATCTGTGATGCTACAAATATCCTTTTCAGAGATATCACTTGTAGGATGGTTGGTCTTGTAGGAACGTAACATACGTTTCTTCTCTTCAACCGTTAGACAGTCTTTGGTCATATTAAGAACAGCTTCTGTTTTAAGTAGGTCCACTTTGTACTGATGTAGTTTTGAACATCCTTCCTTCCAGTTGTATGTCCTGGATGTAAACACAAGCTTCAGGCTGTAGATGGGGGCTTCTTCATTGGATTGTTCCTTAGCTTTGGATTGTTTTTCTTTCTTCTTCTTTGAATCCCACTCTGTATCAGCAGCAGTTTTAGCAAGATCATCAACCAAGGCACTGAACAATGTACGAATTTTTTCCACATTTGCACTGAATGTGACAGAGCCAAATATATCATCGAAAACAACCAGCATGTGCGACTGCCTTTTAGAAATTGTATCAACGTCAAAATGTTCAATGTGTTCCACAAACACTGTTTCATATTTCTTTTGTTGATATGCCTCACAGATCATCAGAGCAATGCTGGTCTTACCATCTCCAGGAGCTCCACAGACGGTGACATGGCCATGTGTCTCAAGGAGTTGTTTGGCTGTCTGAAGGGCATGGATGTCCACAAAATACTCCTTTACGCGTCCCACCTTCTGACAGAAACGTTCTGTGAGAAAACAAAAAAAACAATGATTGTTTGAAAAGATAATTTGGTCAGTATTTGCTTCTTATTTCAGTCAACTCCTTCAAGCAAGTAAGTGTAGCATTTTTACCTTTAAGATCACCATGGAGGACCAAAACAGAGGATAAAAATAGTGACCAAAACATTTTAAATATGTATGTGGTGATGCATTATTGCCCACCTGGTACATTCAAAGTGAGCTTAAGGGCACTTTCTTAGATATATGACTTTCATTTAAGCGCAGAGGAAGGTGCCAAAGAAAATTGTCGGCACTGTCTCTCTCGGTTACCTGGTGAATAAAATGTGTGCCCAGATACGTGTTACCCTGCCTGGTGTTTCGGATTAAGGGGATAAAACAAGAACTGGTTCGAAGTCAGTGTAATGTGTCTGAGTGGGGCAACCATGTTAAACTGTTGCATGCATAATATGTTAGTGGACAAGTGGTATATAAACGGATGATTGAACTCCGGCTGGAACAAGCCACCATACATGCATGCACGTTGATGTATGAGAGTGCAGTAATCTTGAACGTGAATTAAAGCCCAACCTCTCACCTTGACTCTCTCTGATATTTTAGACACTGTTGCTAACAGAAACGGTAAAGTTGATTGTAATGTGATCTGCTTGATGTGAGAAAGCTGTATGCGCTCCATATGCTGACAAAAGAAAAATAACTACAAAGTTGTATTTCCCTGATCTCTATGCTTCCAGAGAGATTCAAGTAAACAGATACTCAGAATAAGTTCTGTTCTAAGCAGGTTGCTAGATGCTGAAAGTAATTTAGATACCTTGTAATTGTTCCATGAATACCAAATTAAGGAATACACACCTAAAGACACCTCCTTGGTGCATTTTATCTCCATTCTATTGTCAGATATACCCAGAGCAGTTGACTCTCTCTGTTATTTCAGACACTGTTGCTATCCAGGAACGGTAAAGTAGTGTTAGTTGATTGTAATGTGTCTGTTTGGCGTGACAATGATATATCTGTTTTATATGCTGACAAAAGGATAATAACTACACAGTACTGTTTTATTTCCAGATCTCTATGCTTCCAGGCAGATTCAAGTAAACAGATACTCAGAACTATTTCTGTTTTAACCGGGTTGCTAGATGCTGAAAGTAATCAGGCATATAGGATACCAAGATGATGTTTTTCAAAGTGACCACTTCATAAACCTTCAACATGATCACATTATCTTTAAGTTTGTTTGAACATATTGCATAAACAAAGCCTAAAAGAGCCAAACAATAAAAGCATCAGTTCTCCGCAATATTCACTTTCAGAATGAATTTACTGAGTATTCATCTCTTACCTCAGATACCTTGTAATTGTTCCATGAAGATTAAGGAAGACCTGAAGACACCTCCTCCATTAAGCTTAACATCAACAACCAATCATAATGTCTCTTCCAAATGCGAGTTCAGAAAAGATCAAAATTCAAAATCGATGGGTGGATAAATGGAAGCTTGAAATAGTAACATTAGTAATTAATAAAATGACATAAACTATTGCTGTGATGAATGATATATACCTGCCATCTGGTGAGAGGTAAATTGTAGAACAACCCATGTTAAATGCGAAATCAAAATGTTGATCAAATCTCTTTGTTGACATAATTTGTTTTTGCACTTTTGAAAGGACATGAATATCACCACAGAGAATTGTTTGGATCGACAACTGACCTCCAACTGATATAATATTGTTGTATAAAGAAATTCTAATGGCATTATAATTAGCACATTCGAGAACGAAATGACAGACGTTTTCAGATAGATTTCCACACAGATATGTTAAGCATTCTGACAAAATGATTATACTTAAATCTGCACTGAGTGAACTGCTACTAATATTGTTTCTATTTCTAAGGTTATCGTGCCTACTCTTAGTGGTAACAGCTCATTCAAGTAGCTGGGTATAAGTTGTTAACAATTGTGTATGAGTGCATAGTATGTTAGTGTCACGTATGATTGAGAGTGTCTCCCATCCTGTTTCATAATCCAAAATGTTTGCCAGAACATAAAGCGTGGCAAGTCAGCAATTATTCTTTGCGCCAAAACTCCACGACAAACTGTTTTTCCCAGTTTATTCTGGAATTTGTCTTTTTTTTATAGATTTTCCAGCCCCTTCCAAATATTAATTGGCCATTCCTTACTCTATATCACCATGCTAAATTGTCTGCTTTTCATTCTCATAATAATAGTTAACTTCTACAACCCATCAGCATGTGCATGCCAGGTGACGTCTCACCTTGTGACAGACATCCTCTAGCTCCTTGTTCCCCGACGGAGACGGAGACATTGGAAGCATTGGTCAAGTCCACCTGAGATACAGGACCACCTGCAACAGAACAAGAGAGCCACTGGTCACATTATTGTCCAATGAATAATAGCGACAAAACCCTTACATAATCAGGATATGAACTGTCCACGCCAAAGAATAACCGGTCTTGCTCATCAGCCGAACATATTCCATTGGACATAAAAGGCAAAATAGCGGAGAAAGTTGTTTGAATGGCTCACTGAAAATCAGTGACGACACCATGTGTTCGCAAAAAAAGGTAAGAGTGTCAAGTTAAAGATGGTCGACCAGACGGACGAAGGACAGAAGAGACTTTCAGTCAGATGAACTGAAGATATATTGAATAAATTCACGATGCACAAGCCGCTTTTTAAAAAACTTGGGAGTATTAACTTCCATAGAAAAAAATTTAGACAAGTTTCTTTCATTATGAAATTAACAGAAAGTTTTTTTAAAGATATAGTTAACCATATCTTGCATATGACTGTAATTTGGCAAATTTTCAGGATAAAAGTTCACAGTAATTAACATTAATTCAAACAACATATACCATAACAGATTCTATAATTTTATCAATTCTGTTTCTTACTCAATCATTTATGTTAGATCGGCTTCTGGTATTACTCATTCCTATCTAACTGTAAGCATGACTGTACGTGTTTGAAGTGCTCACTGTAGTTATGCTGTGTTGCAGATATAGAGGTAGGTTGTCTCCCTTGCTCAGTCGCCCTCAGTACCTCAGCTGCTTCCTCAGCGAGCCATCTTGTCATCTGATGGTCACGTGAGTCGGGATTTCCTTCCATTTCTCACTACAAAGAAAACAAACCACAGTTACGACCATTGATACTTATGACTGTGGACTTTGATCAATGTACAACGAATTCCCCGACAGTGTGAAATTTGCATTTTAAAAAGTTTGTCCCCAACAACAGTTATATGCATTTCCGGTCTACAAGATGAAACAACAAGTTGGCATTTCAAAACAGCTTTTCTCCAACACAATTATATGCACTTCCGGTTTAATTACCTTGACCTTCAATCTCAAACAAGCTCTTCCAGAAACATTTTGCAAGCTTTTAATAGAGCTATATTTCGGCAAGCATGGAATGCTGAAGACCTATTCTACCCCGGATCTTCAATTCAAAAGCCTTCGTGTTATTGCTTTGTTTGCTGTATATTTATCAATGTGGCAAGAACCTCTTAATCCTATTTAGTACAGTGTCTAGTGATATATGCACAACATGATCAGTCACATGACATTAAACACAGGAAGTTTATAAACAGCAGCCAAAAAATTACTATTGTTCTGAAGCAACAATCAGATCAACATTTGTGAAAAAGTAAGCATGTGTACATTACTTTTTTAATATCTTACCTGGTGTAACTTAAATCGCAACATAACATCAGTGGCAAGTGGTGAACACGTTGATGTGTTCGGAGGGCTTTGAACCGTCTACCTTGATTACGTCGTTAAGCGTGTGGTTACATATTGTTGGGGCTCGAAACTGGTGAGGCTCGAAAACCTGTGCTGTTCAGAAGGTATTTTTTCGTTCCTCTATTAATACATGTACCTTTTTAATTGAATTAAATTACTTCATGCCATTCCAAAGTATGACTTTTCCTTCACAGATGTTCTTGATAGAACTCGAGCCGATGTAGTTTTTGTATGTATTTTACTTTTATGATTTTACAAATAATTATTTTATATTTTTAGTTGTTCGCTTTATTTAGTTTTATCAGTCAGCTATAACACAGTGTGTACATGTCTGCCCTGTGTCACCTACAAATTGCACCATGCCCAGGAGCTCTATATGCTGACTGGCCAAGCTAACACCTGTCAAATGCCTATAATCTGGCTATAATCTCTATTTTGTGTTGTATTGAAATAATACAGTATGTGTGAAGTGTTATATTTAGTAAACTAACTGTGTGTAATCTAATATAAATTTCTAAATATGTCCAATTAATTGCATCTCAATAAAGCTAAGCAATCCTAATTTATCACTAAAATAAATTCTCTTCAATGAAAGAATGAAATATGTGTGTAAATATTGTTTTACTTCTTGAATGTTCTATAAGCTTTTCTTAATAGAGTTTGTAATGTACAGATTCAGATGTGAATCGTTGTGAATAGAATGTGTGTATTACTGTGTTCAATATGTTAAACGTCAAATAGTGTGTTTAGTCTACCTGTATGATTCATTCAGATCAATGAATATGGTGTTTCCATCAACATGGTATGCATTGAATTGTTTATATTTGTCTTGACTTCATGTATAATCTAAATGTTATGATCACATTTATTGACATATCATATATAATTAATTTCTGTCTTAAAGTATTGTCTTTGTTACGTGTTACGATTCCAAAATTGAAACAATAGGTTCGCTCAGAAATCTGTAATTAAAGGAAATTCAACAATCAACAATGAAACTAGGATTACAAATCCACAAAAATACTGCACAACACGTATAAGGACACAATAATGTACACAAAAGAGTGGTACAATGTTCAATGGCAGTATAAAATGTGAGAGCAGTGGATAGGCCTAGCCTGGGAATCTGGGTCGACAAGTGATCTCTATGTGAAAGATGAAATGTGACATGAGACAGGCACGGCAAACCCCACCTAACAATCTTCCAACACTTTCCACACAGTGCTTGACAAATCCGGTGTCACTTGAAAATCACAGGATATTTCACATCGTTCTATAAAACTTGACATCCATCCATGTTATTCCGGAACTTTATAGATAATTAGAACATCTAAATATAATAACTTCCTCAACACTGCTTGAATAAAATTGTACTACATTCCTGATAACTAATCATTGTCCAAATACAATTAAATGAACTTCAACTGAATCTCAATAGAAATATAGTTACAATCATTGTCTTAAAATATATTACACTTCCACATGACATGTTTAAGAAATAAACCACTCTTGGTCGTTGTTTTTCGTGAAATAAAACACTGCTGGGAGAATACACCTTGGGGAGCGCTGTCCCAAGTTGTTTATTCTTCCTGCAGTGTTTTTTGTACGATAAACAACGACCACGAGTCGTTTCTTTCTTTAAGAGATACCACCACCATGTACATCCCCTTTAAGGATGTTGAAAAATGAACATGCTTTAAACACATTTTCCGAAATTTTAAAATGTTAAACTTATCCTATCTCACACTATGCATTTCTTCCTTCTTCTGTCGATCTTTGTGTGGAAACGTCCTAGAACAATGTTTCCAGCTTCTAAAATGCTCCTCGCATCGCCATAGTAACCACCCAAACAAATGGGTCATGCACTACAATCCCGTGCACCGTGACGTTATCGGTTTGATCACCCAGATCGCTGCTCTTCAACCCGTTCAATTGACACTACATCAGGAAAGCCAGACATCACTACTGAAAGTCAAGCCTCCCCCTCTCCTCCACTGGTATCTTTGACAACATTGATCCAGCTGATATGTTGCCTTGGATTGCAGACACATATAAGTTATAGCAAGTCGTTCATCCGAAGATTTCGCAGGCTTCGTCATCCCTAATTCCACTTCATCCGCCATCACGTTGCCTCCTAAGTTCATTATGTTTCTTCTGTCCACGAACTTGGACCAGGCCTTCGCTGCATTCTGTTGTCAACTGCTAAGAAACCTATTGAATTACTTAAACAGCAGTACCATCGACTATTCAACAGTCAATCAGAACAAGACATCTACCATCATGTTCTCACCGATAGCAATATTCCTACCATATGATGGCGATCTGTAATAAATCAAGTTTGAACAGGACTATCCAGTGATTGACATCATGGGCATCAATCTACGTCTTGGGATACGATTACCTGCACCAACCATGGCCGCGAGCCCGACCACCCCATCCCGTTGGTCACCTCTTACAAGCATAGTAACCTCGTATGGCAAGCTTGAGATACTGAAGACCTATTCTCTACAGGGATCTTCACGGATCCGGTCCACGTGCCCGCCAGTCACGGAACGTCTTATGGTGCTAATCGAAGACAAATCACCATGACGATCGAGACAAACAGCCAGAATAGGCTTTAGTCCCCGTATCTAATCTGCATCTACAAGATATAGCTTCGACTTTATACTAACCAACTGTCAATCTTTTACCAATCGGTTGGAGAGCGCATTTATGAGATCTGCAGGCGAACTCATTTCACGTCAACTGCTCAAAGTTCAGTGTTCAAAACAACTACACATTGGACGACCCCTTCGCAACCTGATTCCGACCGGGTCACCTCTTACAAATAGCCAATTACCATCAACAGTTACATACTGTAGTAATTTTTCATATGACAATAAGTGGAAGCTTTGGAACGATATTGTAAAGCCAGAGATATTGCTAACGTCACCTCAACATATCTGCAATCCATGTGTTCTACATGATGGCTCAAGGGCTCTACTTTGACTACTTATCAAGCAGCAATTAACACAGTTGATGCTACTTTTACAGGTTCAAAGATTTCCAGGGTATCCTGCAAGACGTTCGTTCACCATACTGGTACATATCGCGCTACCATCGGTTACCATTGCAAGAGATCTAGTCCTTCAGCTACACTCAAAACAACTATACCCATTACAAGACACCCTCCATATATGTTGGCACATCTCCAGAAATCACTCGTCACCATAAGGTATTTGAAAGAGTAGCCAAGACCATCACTGAAGCTCTTCGACCTCCACTAAGGCCTTGCACGATCACAAGTGGAAGGCCTTCAAAACTTACTGTCGTGCAGATGTTGTCACTTTACCGATCACCACTTCTCCCAAATAGGTTGCTGAATGTTTACAACACTTGAGGTCTACACGGAGGCTTAAAGGTTCCACGGTTCGATATATCTCTCAGCCATCATTAGGTTCGAACCGGTTCAAAGATCTCCAAGACTGCAGAACAACAGGCTCTTATTCGATCCTACAAGTTTTGCTGACCAATCGTCGCGGTTTCGTCCTTCTACTTGGGACCTCAATATCTTCCTACTCCATCTGCCTTCGGAAAACTAAGTACCCTTGGAACAGAAGAACTTTGAGTTCATCACCTTGAAGACCTTTTTCTCCAGGACATTGCAACAACTACTTGAGTTACCGAGATACATGTTCTTGACATCACCAGGGTCTAGTTTGAGAGGCTGCGCCTTGGGAATGTCCAGCTGGGACTTCGTTAGCACTTTTATTGTAAAGAATCCACTTCTGGGCCAACAAGATCGGCTGCAACTGCTCGTTATCCGATATTATGGAAGGCTACTTCTGGAAATAAGACACAGAGTCTTCGACCTACGTGACCGATGTACACGGCCTCCACCAGGTTTTTTTCCGTTCATGAACGAAGATAGCACATACAAGTACCTGCTACCACAGACTCGTTGTTCGTATCCTGTACATACTGAATTAATGATCGAACGCCACTCCTTTGTTTATTATAAGTACGCTTTGGGTTCTCAGAGCAGTATTCATTGGAGAGTGCCGACACTCGTCTGTCGACTGTTTCCCAACCCCCTTCGAGCTCACTTCTGTCTTGTGTACGTGATGTCTCAGTATTGGTTTGAAGATCCTCTTATGGATGTTGTTGATCGTTATCTCGTCTCGTCTTAGCATGCTTAAATCCCGCGGTGGGATTGATAGCTTTGACGAAGCATTTAAAGGTATGCCAAGCTGATCAGTCTTAGAGCGTATGTGGTGGTTTGTGTTGTAGAACTAATAGACTGGAGACTCCTTCCGAATTGGTTACAAGTCGTGGTTAAATAGGTTCCTTGCTTCAAAGCTACACGGTCGTTCTGGAAACGATGTCCTT